CAGACAGACAGACAGACAGACAGACAGACAGACAGACAGACAGACAGACAGACAGGGAGAGAGAGACAGACAGGTAGGCAAGCAGACACGCAGACAGAGTGAGAGAGGGGGAGAGAGACAGCGAGAGAGACAGCGAGAGAGAAAATGTTTTCAGAGCGAAGGTGTTTCAGCTCGTACATTTGTCATTTCTTGTGGCGCGCATGCGTAAATGCACACAAACCTTGTAAAACTATCGCTATTTTCATTACCAAGAAAACAAGTGGGTGGTTGGCGGGTGTTCTGGTGTAGTTTGCTCCTTCTTTCCTATCGAACATCTATCATCCTTATCTCCCCTTCTTCTTTTTTATGTTTGTTACTCTCTTGTAACATCTCTAATCCTCTGGCGCTCATATGACCTCATATGAACTTATGCAGTTGCGAGCGCCGTAAAACCTCTACTAAAACTAAACAAGAAAACAAAAGTTTGCATGTCGACACCTCGTTCTCCGTTTAAACGGTCAAATTTAACAAGTACACTATTATTTTATTATCGCTCTAACAAATTGCCCTTCTTTGTTACTCTCTAATCTTTGGCACTTATATGACTTTATTGTGTTGCAAGTGCCGTAAAACTCTTACTAAAACAAAACATAACAAATTGCTACCTTACAATTACAAAGTTCTGTCTGACATTTTTGGCCGTTTTGAGTTACTTTGACCATGAGGTCAGAGACTAAACGTTCTATCTGCTCTATTAAAATGGTAAGATTATTCGTAGCTGCTAGCAAGATATTCAAAGAGTTGCATTTTAAAAAGCTTGACTTGTTGTGAAACTCACATTTTTAACGTAAGATTTCTCAAAACTAAGTACTGAGCAGATAGAACTTTGTAATTCTGAGATAGCGATATGTTCCTGAGGGACATATAAATTATAATGTAATTGTTTTTTCTATTTTTCCGCGCCCCACCAACCTTTTTAGTCTTAGTAAGGTTTTACGGCGCTCACAACTGCATAATGTCATTGATCGCCAAGAGGTTGAAGTCAACAGATAAGTCCGAACGGGGAATCAGACTTACTCTGCTCACCTCTCTAGCTTCAACTGCACAAGGTCTGCTTCGACTATTGAGGCACCCCGGAAATAGCAGTTTACAAGAGTATGACAAACATACAAAAGAAGTAGAGGAAAAATGACGATAGTAAGGATGAGGAAGAAAAAGCAGCAGTTGCCCCTAAGTTGTTCCGGCACAGTATGAGTATGATAGTGATAAATCAGCCTGTTTACAATTCTACTGTGCATAAGAACGTGTTAATATCCCCAACTGAGAATGGCCTTAAGACATTTTCAGTCAGCTGTACTGCCCTGGTTGAGGGGAGCCCCATTACCCGACGATAAATCATTATGTACGAATCTACAGAAACGTTCAGTGCAAAGGTCATGTTTCGACGTCTTGTAAACATACATGCTATATACATATTCATAATATATTTGTTTATTATGCACATATAATGATTTATACATAATGTATTCATCATTTGACCCCGTGGTGTTGTTACACCACTTCCCTAGAATAGTCTTGTTGTATGTAGAGAACAACCAAAGCGTTGTGAACACGGCTTGCCATTTGTAGAGCAAACGACAAGAGTAGGGTCTACTGTGATGTATAGTACTCGCGTAGCTTACTCAGGATCCATGTCAAAACCAAACCTACCTTTCTGTGTTCGTGGACGCTGATCCAAATATTATGTGAGGCAGCGTGGTGAAATCAGGCGCTCGTCAAAATAGACAAAGTGAAGAAACTAGCATTTTTTCGCAGGCTTGGGAATTTTTATAAAACTTTTGTTTTTTGGCTCAACACATCGTTCATGCCCTTTAAAGAACACATTTCTGTTTGTATTGTGCTGAAAACAGTTGATTTAAGGCATAAGAGATGTAAATTTTCAGTTTCCATGGGCTCTCAAGCTTAGGAAATGACTCAACTTTGGCGGCCATTTTCTCGCTAATTTTACCTCTGAGACAAGCCTACCCCTCCTCCTTCACTCACCAATATCTTGACTTGTATCAAAGATAAATATATATTGTTTTCATCCAAAGAAAGGCAAATGGACAAGCTTTAAGATGATACCAATAACTCCATATGCCCCAAAATCGACGAGAGCCTGATTTCACCACGCTGCCTCGCATATGCCATACCCACAACATGACCATACAGCAGTTCTGCTTTGACGCTTCATAATATTATGAATCATGCGTCGATCCGATAGAAATCCTTTTTTTTTCATACGTGCGTCTGTTCTATTTCGCCAGTCCGCGTGCCGAATTGTCACGATTCCTTAATTGTACAGTTTTGTATAGTGTAGGACAATACTGACGTTGTTGTCGAATAGAAAGAAGAAAAAAAAAGGAAAAGAAGAAGAAGGTCACTGTAGTTGTCCAAGAAGCAAGTATGCCTTGAGCTCGATTCCTATTGGTTCGGGTGGTTGGCGGGTGCTCTGGTGTGGTTTGCCCCTTTTTTCCTATCCGGTGGGTGGTTGGCGGATGCTCTGGTATGTCTGGTGCTCTTTCCAATCCAACATTTATCATATTTTTCTCTCCTACTTCTCCTTCTTTTCTTTGTATGGTACTCTCTTGTCACACCCTATTCTTCGGCACTTCTATGACTTTTTTTGGGGCGAGTGACGTATAATTCTTGCGAAAAGATTCCATGACACAGCTTTCCAGTTATCGGACGCTTACGAAGTCGAAATTGTTCAAGACGGCCTTCCTTTGTCGAGGAGAAAAATGGTTGTTGTCCTAAATAGGTAGAAGTCTTGGGCAAGGTCATTATGATATTATATACAAACGTGGTGGGGGATGGGGGTGGGAAGTGGCTGTTTGAACAGACTATTGCCTTGGGTAAATGAGCAGGCTCGGCTGTACTTAAAAACGAAAAAAAATTAACGCTTGTATGATGACTGTACGTCGGTTCTGGGCAAAGCTTCTTTTTTTCGTTTTTGTTTAATCGAAAGTTTACTCGAATTTACAAATCCGAAGGAACTTCAAAGACACGCAAGGTACTAACAGTTCGAATACCGGTGACATAATTATGTTCCGACATAATCAAATCTGAAAATAAATACAGTGTAACACGGACAGGTCGAAAACAGAAGACTCGAAATCACGCATCCGTCGAACTGTGCCTGCGGTCCCGTTTTGTTTTGGGATAGGGTTTGTTTGTTTGTTGTTGTTATTTTGTTGTTGTTGTTGTTGTTTTTTGGGGGGGTTCTTTATTTTTGTAAGATATCCATCGAACTACGGATCCCTCAAACTACCAAGGCCGGTCCCGACGAATTCGAGCTATCCGTGTTATACTGTATAAGATACACTTAACTGATGCACGAGATGAATTTGTGGGTGGTTGGCGGGTGCTCTGGTGTAGTTTGCTTCTTCCTTCCTCTCAAATATCTATCATCCTTATCTTCCCTTCTTCTTTTTTTATGTTTGTTACTCTCTTGTAACACCTC